AATATGTCATAGTATTCTGTGGCTTAATTATTTTCTTATTGGTGTACATTAAGAATTTTTAGGGTTTACTCTGTTATAAACAAGGCTGAAATGGACACGCTTAGGTGTCTTTGAACATATGTATTTATGGTCATATGCAGTTATTTCTGTAGAACAGATTATAGAAGTGAATTTCTGGATCAGAAGGAATGCATACCATTAATCTTGATGGGTGCTGTTAATTTATCCTCTAAGAACTGGGAATCACTTTGTTCTTATACCAACAGTGGGTAAGACTGCCCTTTGTCTCATTTCAAATCAACACTTAACAGCCAGACATGGTGGCGTACACCTGTAATCCCAGAGTTTAGGGAGGCTGAGGCAGGAGGATCGAAAGTTCAAAGCCAGTCTCAGCAAAAATGAGGCACTAAGCAACTCAGTGAGACCCTGTCTCTAAATAAAATACAATAAAAAAAAATTAGGGCTGGGATGGCGTGGCTCATTGGTAGAGTGCTCCTGAGTTCAATCCCTGGTACCCACCCCATCCCCACTCTCCCCTCAAATATCAACACTTAATATTAACAGTGTTTTCTTTTTTCATATGTGCTTTATCCAAGAAGCAAATTTTTTTTATATTGTTTTAGTTTTTATTCTCTTCAATATTTTTCATTAACCATGTTTTCTAGCTCTTTGGAAAGAAAATATTGAATATGTTGTTTTATGCTGAAAGCAGACATAACCAAAATATTTAAATTCAGTTTCACTGGTGGAAAATAGAAGGTGAAATGTGTGAGATGAAAAAGAGTGGAGGCCTGAGATATGCCCAAAGACACGGAATTTATAGAGAGATGGCAGAAAGAAAGATGGAGGCAGAGGCTGTGAGCTGGCTTTATGGACAGAGAGGCAGGTAAATGCAGAGGGTGGACACATGATGAGTTTGAAGAAAAGTCCAGCCACTGAGGCACGGAAGGCCTGTCCTGGAGAGGACACACTTCCCTTCCCCTCCACTGCAAAGACTGAAGAGTTGAGAGCTGACTGGGTTCTCTTCGTTCTCCTCCATGGATGCATCACACTGGCCTTTTTATCTTCAAGAGTCCAGTTATAGGAAAAATAGAGGAAGTGCCAAGTTTACACAGGCTCCCGATTCTGGATGTAGATTTCAACAAACATTCTTTCATTTATAAGAGACAGATTAATTGCTCTGGAATTATAGAAGTGAGTGAGTACATACACTTAATTAGCTTGTTTAAATGGTAATGAGCAATTGTAAAATTCAAGTTGCACACGGGCATGCAGATCATCTGGGATCAGGCTACCTCACTGATGGACATGGAAGACAGCACATTTTGGGACCTTTGCTATTTAAAATTAAGCACTAATGCAGAGTTGGCACCTTTTGTGCCTCCTTTCCTTTCTATAAAAAAATACTTAAATAGGTTAACTCACATCATTTTGAAGTATTAACTCATTGTTTAGTCTCCTCTTGATTTCCTCCTGATTCTGAAAAAATGATTTGATCTAAAATAAATGATTCAAACCAGATAAAGCATGAGATTAGTGTTTTCTTTTTAAATGATATTCTAGTATGTAGTAACTAAATATTTTTTTTTTACATTTAAACTTAAGTTTTACTGTTTTCTTAATGTAATAGAGACTAATTTGGAATACACATAGGTTATCACTTAACTGAATAATGTTCATTGTAAAAGAAAACCAAGGGAATAAATTGATAATTATTTTACATTAGATTTTATGGGTATTTCTTTCTTGTAGTTACCCATATAATCATCTCTGAAATGGTCTTAAATTTATCAATAATAAAAACAAAGTTATTATAACTTGAATTCTTTATTAAGCCATTGAAGTAGATGACTATAGGATGATACGTAGGGTTTTTTTGTTGTTGTTTTCTTTTGGGTACCGGGGAGTAAACTCAGGGGCACTTGACCACTGGGCCACATCCCCTAGTTTGTATTTTTATTTAGAGATAGGGTCTCACTGAGTTGCTTAGCGCCTCGGTTTTGCTGGCTGTGAACTCGTGATCCTTCTGCTTCAGCCTCTAGAGTCGCTGGGATTATAGGCATGCGCCACTGTGCCTGGCTATAGTTATTTTTTAACATTAGCCTTTCTGTGTTTTAACCCAGCAAATTTCTATAAGTCCTTCCAACTCTTAGAAGAAAAACAATTCATCCACTGACTCATTTCATTTTCCCATCTGCAGTGCACTTCTCCAAAACACTTATTGGGGAAATTAGATAATAATGAGGCACAATGAGCTCTTACTGTGAACCAGCTTTGTTCTAAGTTCTCTAGCTGTATTGACAGCTTTGCTTCTCATAATAGCCCTGAAGACAGTCACCATTGTTATCACCCACTCAGAGATCAGGAAGTAGAATCATTGGAAATACTATCTTACACTACAGTAAGGGGTACACCTCACCTTGAACCCAGGTAGATGGACTCCAGACAGTTCTACTTTTAACATCTAATCATGAAGTGTTTTCTGTCTAGAGTACATCTGTACTGTTTCTGTTGAGATAATGGAAGAAATTCTTAAACTATAAACAGATTCTAGCTAAGAAACATTTAAATTATGTGTGACCTGTTTGATCAGCAGTCAGCGAAATATTTGCATTACTGCTTACATTGTTTAAAAGTCAGATCATATAAAGGCAATTCTAAATCGAGCTATCATTTAACAGCGATTACTATTAACATAGATTCCAGAGGTTGGCAAACCTTTTCTGTAATAGGCCTGATAGTAAATATATGTGTGCATTCAGTCCTCTTACATCATTTTATTTTTTTATCCTTTACTTTTAGAACCATTGAAAAATGAAAAACTGATCTAGGTCTGAGGCCGAACCAAGAGAAGTCAGTGGCTCAGTTTGGCCCATAGGCTGGTATAAATTTATTGGTGCATATGGGTTTAGACTCCTGCATCTGCCTGAGCAAACACCTGTTTTATACATCTTAAAACATTTTGGCTTCAAGAAAGATCTATAGGTCTCTGCCTGCCTCTTGCTGAAATGTTGATATCTTTATTAGGGTTCTCCAGAGAAACAGAACCAATAGCATAAAGTCAGTGACTTTATTGTGGGAATTCTCCCTCAGGATTATGGAGGTTGTGAAGTCCCACAGTCTGCAGTTTGCACACCAGCAGACCAGGAAAATCCGATGGTACAGTTCAGCCTGAATCCAAAGGCCTGAGAAGGTGGTGCAGCTTTCATTCTGAGGCCAAAGGCACAGGAACTAGGCAGGGAGAGATGCTGGTGTAAAACCTGGAGTTCAAAGGCCTGAGAACCTAAATTTATGATGTCCTGGGTCAGGAGAAGATGTATGTCCCAGTTCAAACAGAGATTACCTTATCCTTCCTTTTTTCTATTTTGGCCTTCAGTAGATTGAATGATGCCAATCACATTGATGAGGGAGGACATTCTTAGGCTACTTATTCAGAGGCTAGTCTCTTACAGTAAAACCCTCACAGACATCCCCAGAATGTTTTACCAGCTATCTGTGCATCCCTCAGCCCTGTCAGGTTGACACATAAAGCTAACCATCATATGCCTTATAAACATTGAAGATGTCAGAGAATTATGCACTCCTGACATTCCCAGAGTTTGAGAGTGAATGCTGCTGCTTTAGGAGTTGCAAGGGACTAGACTGGGCCACAGGTTCCACAGTGCCACTTTAAGAGACTAGCAGAGGTGAAGACAGGAAGGAGCTTTCATCAGTGTGGCTGCACCGAGGAACTGAGAAAGGTCGAGGATCTAAGATCTGTGTTCCAGGGGCTGACAAGTACTTTGAGGCTACAGAAAAAGGGAACAAAAGGAAGGGTGGATGTGTTGCATAGCTGGGACTTTTCATAGCAGGCAAAACAGACACTCTTGATCAGACAGTTATCAGATTGATCATTATCTCAGGACTGGTTCCATAAAACTCCAGGGAAGTCAGCATCCCCTGAGAGGCCAATTTGGTTCCCACTGTTAGATGATTGCTCTTGCTTAAGGAAACAGCCTTGGTTTCACTCATGGAGTGACTGCCCCTGCTTAGGGGGTAAAGTCATCGTGGGGTGATCTGTCTTCAAGGCTTGCTGCTGCTTTGGGGTCATTTTGGTTCCTTGTCATAAAGATGCTTATATATAGATCTGTTGTTCCTGGATCCGAGCTAAAGAACAGCAGAAGAACTTAGGAGGAAAAAAAAATGTCAAAAAGGCAATACAGAACCAGGGATGGACAAGATGGAGCTAGTTAAGTCAGTGCCTGGATTTTCCTTCACTGAGTCCGCAAACCAAATATTATTCTGGAATGTTTCTTTCCATGATGGTTTAAACAAATATTTAGAAGCCTAGTTCCAAGAAAAGTCCTCTATAACAGATTCAGATAGTGTCAACTGTGTTCATGGAGCTTCTGCTCTGCAGAACTCTTCTAACTCACACTTTGTTCTCTTGTGTTTATAGAAATATACATTTTTCTTTTTCCTTGATTGCTCTAGAGCTCTTTGCTGTCACTAAAACAATGGACCTTGAAAATAGGTTTTTTGAGCAATAATGTAGAAAATGTGCTCTTAGTAGCTTTAAGATGATATGAATGTGTGTTTCTGCGCAATTCAGTTAGAGATAATTGTTTGGAGACTGGGAGAAGAATTTTATCCAGTGCCAATGATGATCTGAGCAAGAGGGCTGTGCATATTGACCAGAAACTTTGACAATGGGGCACTTGCATAATTTTTTTTTCTGTTTAAGAAAATGACCATTTTATATGTACAAGTGAACGTGTATGGGGGCAGAGATTTTCTTACCTTGTTCCTGAAGTTCCCTTACCAAGTATTAAAAGGCAAGGGATTACTTCTCAGGTATAAAGTTTGCTAATTTACCAGCTGGATGTAACTTACTTGATGAATCTTCCTTAATAATTGCCTATCTCTGGAGTATGTAGTAAGTTAAGGAATATTCCCTTATTCTCTTATATTACTTTAAAATGACATTATGACTTGATTAGGTTCTTTTTTTTTCTTTTCAGAAAGTATCTGTATGTCACATGTTCTTTTAAAGGAACACTTAAAAATGAAGTAAAAAAGGCAGAAGAAGCAGTAAAGATCGGTATGTGGTTACCTGTGGCCCATGACACTACTGTTCATTCACTCAGCAAATGTTAATCAGGCACTTATGAGACATTCACTGCTGTAGGTGATGCTGGAATTGAATGTCATTCCTACCTCTGAGAAACTTCATAACACATTCCTTTATCTTTATCCCTTTATCTCTGGGTTTGTTTAATTGTGATCTGATTTGTAATTTTAAGCATGATCCTGATTATACTTGGAACTCGTTGAAAACCTGGTGGTCGTGATGCTGTGTTAGATCACAAGTGAGACCAGCATCACATCTACGTTAAAAAGGCTGTTCTGCACATTCAGTCCTCCCACAGCAAGGACAAAGCCATGCTTCCCCTGTCATCTTGGGGTAGAAATAGCTCTCCATCATATTTCATAGATTTTAGAGCATTTTCAGTCAGCCAAAGGTTGACTCATACTTTTGAATTTATGTGTAAACTTAGGTTCTATAAATTGTCATGCCTAAGAAGAAGCCCAATAGAAGAGATTTAAAAGGCGTATGAGCTATGAAAGGTTTTCCGCGATTATAATCAGTATGCCATTATCTCTGGTCATGACTGTGTGTATAGAAAACGCTCACTTAAAAATTGCTTGCAAGAATCTCACTGTATTATAACTAACTATTAAGCTTCTGCTTGTAGCTGAACTTTCATTGAAAGAAGCACAAATCAAAGTAAACCAGCCTGACATAACTTCTTCGTCCTCCGCCAAGGTACGATGTGGAAAGAGTGATCTTAAATGGCAAACAACATGACTTGCTTTTTCTTGGGCATAGATGTATGTCCCTTATCATTTACTTCCTAAACTCTTAAGCACAGATGAGCTCCAAAGATTAAGTTGATTTTAACACAGGTATACAGAAAAGTTGAATTCAGAGAAAAAAGAGACCCAGCACATAGGGGGATGGCTGAGACAGCAAAGATGAACGAAATGTGGGTGAATTTGGTATGTGGGGAAGAGCAACTTATTTAAAAGGAAAGTAATAATAAGAAAAGGAGAAAATAATGAAAAGCTAGCAGGAAAAAACTAGCGTATCCAGTCTCCTTGAAAATATCTATTCAACTTTTAGCTCTCCATGGACCCAAATAAATGGGGAAAGCAAGAAGAGGACTAATAAGCAGTCCTTCTTTCTAGTGCTAGGAATTATATCCCATAATTATGAATATTAATAACAATGCTTCCAGCTTACAAAGCTCTTTTATTATGAGTTGCTTTGCACAGTTCATAAACATTCTTTGTAATCCTTGCAATATGCCCATGAGTAAAATAAGTTATAAAGAACTATTATTATTAATTATAGTATATTGCAGCTAAGAGAAAAGGAATATTGCTGCAGGATATGTATTGTAATCTTGCTAACTTTTACCAAAATTATGGTACAAAGCTTTCCTCACTATGACTCATTGAGCAGAATATCTATTTGCTTGAATACAAAGGGATGAGCAGCAATATGGGGGTTGGGGGCGGGGAATGCTTTTCTTCACCACCTTTTTCTTCCCCTGGCTAAATGTCTGAACCTTTTCAATGACTTGCCCTTAAGCTTTCAAGGGCCAGGGTGGGGTCTGAAAAAGCTCCCTCCTAGCTAAGGGCTGGGAGTAAGGGATCAAATCAAAGAGCTGTGCTTGGTAATGCCCCCAAGCTAAATCTATCTAGGTTTTCTCAAGATTCTCTTACCTTTTCTTTTCTTTCTTTCTTTTTTTTAAGTTAACGGTAAACCTATCTTATTGTTATTGATTTTTTCATAGTTTAAGCTTTTTTATTTTGTATCTAAGAAATCGATTCCCTTTGCTTTCTGTCGTTGAGAGTAGAGAAAAACAGACTCTAATAGGCCAGACCCTTGCTTTGCTGCCTCCGCCTGCTTCTTCTCACCACCCCTTTGCTCTGTGCTGATACCAGGAAGGGTGGGGATGTCTTTGACTAGTTTGCTTTGTTGCTCTGAGGTGCCCTGGTTACTTTAATGCAGAGAAGGGAGCAAAGCAGAATGACCTGAGTTTTTGACCTTTTAAATACTTCCAGGCAGTTGAATTTGAAATGAAATGCTTACCAACCATTTTTCATTGTATTACTTGAAAGACAAGGAAAATAGTATCTGTAGGTGGTATATCCATCAAAAGAGATATCCATCTTTTACTTCTGGTGAATAAAACTCATTAGAAGTCATTTCCTATTTGTGAGAATGATAGTGACCTGTTTTTCCTTTTTCTGCCTGGGTTACAGCATACTTGAGATAGGGTACTGAAGTAGCCAGTGTATGAAATCACTGACATTAGAGCAGACTGAAAGGGAGAAAGCCTCCACATGGGGTATTCTACGCAGGGAAATTTGGGGAGTATTGTTCAAAGGTATCTAACTTGATAGTAAGGAGACATTTTCTTCTGGCTATTAGCAATATTTATTAATAACTACTTTTTCTCTGAAAGAAGTCTTAGATAACATAATTGAAAATAACATTTTCTGTTCCCAAAAGCCAGAGCCTAGATACAAGAAATAACTTACCCAAGTTTTCATGAAGTTTATGTCAGAGGCATTGTGGCATTATGGGGTGTACAGATTCTTTCTCTTTTTTAGGACATCTGAATATGTGCGAAAAGAGACAAGTGGGTTAGGACTGGTTTTTATGTTCTAAGCTTTTGGAACTTAAGGGTTTCTCAAATATTTACTGAGTATCTACTATGGTAAATTGCATTAAGCAGTGTGATCTGCCTTGAGATATTTGGATGATAGGATAATAGTACTCACCTTTCATTAATTTAATGGCTTTATGTTCTTTCTCAACCAAATGTACTTCTCTAGGATATATTACAGAAAGCTTTGGAAGATGTAGAAGCCAAGCGTAAGAATCTTAAAGAGAAACAGAGGTAAGACATGAGTTTTTCTGTTTGAAAGAATCCTCTATGCTGTGTTAAAACAAACTCGGATTTCTAAGTGGACAGACTTGGTGGTTATTGTGACAATTTCTCTTTTTCAGCTTGTGATATCTTAGTATATTCATCCTAATATGATCAGCATTCTTCAACCAAGATAAAACAGTGTAAAATGTCTGTAACTATATATTGGTGTGTGTACATATGTATCTACATAATGTTCAAACTTCTGAAAAATAGTGAGAAACGAGTCCAGCATTGGTAGTTGAATCTGCCGTTATGTCGGGATAAAGAAGTGCACTGCCCAAGAGATCCACAGACAGCTTTCCTGTCCCTCTGTTCTTTTTACTTAACTCTGGAGGGTTGGTCCCCATTATTTCCTTTGTCTAGTGGACTGAAACTTAGATAGGAAATAATATATCGTTTATATGTGCCTAAAGTAAAATTAACAAGATTATGTAAAAAAGAAGTAAAATATTTACATTTGTAAGGCTGACTGTAGCACAAATACTGATCAAATTAATTTGGGTATAGCCACTGCCGCCCAACTAAGGTCAGATTTTGAAAACTGATACTTTTGGGAAACCCATTTTTTAGGGAAAAATGATTCATTTTGGTTTTCAACATTACTTTTTGGTGAATCAGCCACTGTCATATAACTATAATCTTCCTCAAAACTTAAATTTGAAATGTTACTTATGCATTTATAAGAATAATTAAAGAAATGTCATAGAAATTTTAATTGAAAGGCAACACTTTCTCTAAAGTCTTCAGAGTGAGAAACCTTGTGGATGACTTGTTTATAATATAGTGTAATTTATAAAAAGTGAATGTCTATATTTCACTACTAATTATGCCAATTGCCTTGAACTTGTTTATGTAGAAAAATGATACTTAAAAAAAAAACTTGAACATAATCAATATGTCACTTACCACAGAGTGACATATCATGTCCTCTTTTGTAGTCCCTTAAACAGTACTCTTGTTTAGAGTTCTGATCTCCTAGTTGAGTAAAGATTTTTGAGAAAAAGTTCAATCCTTGCTTACCTAAGATATACATGCATTTAATAAATGCATACTATGTTGACCCACGCCTACAACTTCTCATTGAGTCTGTGGTACTCTGTGATACCATATTCACAGAGGTGGACAGATGGAACTTCATTATTTCCTTGAATCATCCCAGTAGGTCTATCATGTCTGTTGTAATAGTACATGGTCATGAACCTGGAGAGAACAGCTGTGTTTGTGGAGGGAGGGAGGCTATAGGGGGAGAACAAAGAAAGAATTCTACTAGTTGTCATTCTTGGTTAGAAAAGGAAAACTATTTATTTTGCACTTCATTTGTTTCAGGTTAATATTTTAAAATTATCTAGGTAGATGTCATCCCCATGTTTTAGGTGAGATGGAATGTTTTAGTAGTTCCTCTGTAGTTGCCCAGTTGTTACAATGGTAAACTTGTGTTTGAAGTCAAGTCCACCCCTTCATATGACACAGACTTTCGACAGTTCGCAGTAACCTCTTCAGACTGTAGTTCTTTCTGTCACATTCTTCTATTTCTCAATTTCTGAGAAATATATATATATATATATATATATATATATATATATATATATATATAAATAATACTTTTAATAGAAAAATCACACAAAACATAGTACAGGACAGAAAAATAGGAGCTCATATCTGTTGCTCTTGTAAACTTGCCTTATTAACTTTTATTTACCTTTGATATTTAGAAAAGGTTAGAGAGAAAGCTAAAGAACATCTTTTGACACATTCTGATCTGTATCAGATATTTGGAGACTTGAGAACATTCTGAAAGTTAGAAGTGACATCCAGTGTAAGAAATAGCTAAAATTTTGAAAAAAGTCAAATTAACATTTTCCAAAAATGCTAAAATGTACATATCAGATCAGTTAACATTTCAGAACTCTTTTGGCTTTTTCTGGCTTTTCTAAGTTTAAATTAACAGGTTTGTTTTTGAATCAAAGAATGCTTATGTTATTTGCATCATATCTATGCAGAAAACTTGGCTATAGAGATACTGAGTATACCCACCAGGTTTTGCAAAATATCTGGAAATGTTATATGTCATTCCTTTTATGTGTACCTTCTGAGTTTAACTATTAGCAGTTTTGTAAACTGTGTATTTTATTTAATAAAAAACTTTTCTACATATAACTCTAGAGAATTAAAAAAAGCAAGAACGCTCTTCCTGTTCTTTGGAGTGAACATAGAAAACCGAAGCCGAGCTGGCATGTTCATTTACAGTAATAACCGTTTGATCAAAATGCATGAGAAAGTGGGGCCACAGTTGAAACTGAAGTCCTTGTAAGTATGGTTTTGTTTTCAGATGCACAAGCAGGAAAAGGGAGATTGTATTAAGGGTTTGTGGAATGAGATGAATGATTAATCCTAATGGGGGCAGGTGTCATATTCTCTGTTCACCCTTCCTGTCAATATGCAGGCATTAATTTGCCTAATTTATATTACCAGTGAAGCTGTGTGCTTGCTCTAAAGCAAAAACACACTTTTGGAAACATTTTTTTTTCAATGCATTTCTTAAACAGCTTGATGTTTTAACCATACCTTGAGCCATTTCTTTGGGTTTTTAATGTTTCACCAATTTAAAAATAATACAGACACATTAAAGAAATTTTAGAAGAGGAAAGAGAAGAAATATCCACAGGCTTGGAGAGCAACCATGTTTAACATTCTGTATAGCCCCTACGTGTGTGAGGTCTTGCCAGTGACCTTCATGAGGACATGTTTTTTGAAGACTTCAGCCCCTTTAAATTCCAGAGTAATACATTCTGTTGTTTTCCAATGGTCTGTACTTCACAAGCGGCTTTCATCAGTCATGTAGAGGCCTGAAGAGACACCATACAAAAGGACAGAGTCAGACAGAATATCCACGCAGAGTAGAAAGGGTCAGGAGCACTTATCACCTTCCTCTTGAGGAATAGCAATTCATTTATTATTCACGCAGTATTATTGCTGTTTATGTGCCAGGCACTGTACTCAGCTTTTAGGACAAAATGCTCAAGAACTAATAAATATCTTTTGCTAAAGAACATGTAGTTCAGGGAAAGAGATAAGCATTTGAATATGCTTTTTTTTTTTTTTTTCTTTTTTGGTGCAAGGCAAGCACTCTACCTACTGAGCTATGTCTCCAACCCCTCAAATATGCATTTTCTTTTAAACAGCAATAATGAACTTTAAAACCTGAAATAATTGATTCTTTTGCTTAAACCTCAAAGCTGTTTGTAGAAATGCCTACTACATCTTCCAGGGATCTGGCCTCTGCCTGGCTGGGAGCCCCACTCCTTTGCCCATCCCCAAACTCTTTGCATTCTGTTCCTCCCATCACCTAAGCTCATTTCTGCTTCAGGGTCTAGGCACTTGCCCTTCCCTGGACCTTGAGATATGTGTCCTATTAGACCTTCCTACTGTTGGTCCTAGTATGTCATTCAGAGCTCTAAAGTTCCCTCTGTAGGAAGGTCTTCCTTCATTGAATAAGTAACTCAGATGCTGCTGTCACCTTCACCTGCCACTGTTTGCATATTACAGCACCTACTGCATTTTCCTCATACCACTTATCACCATCTGAAATGACCTTGTTCACTTATCTGTTTATTAGAATCATACCAGTCACCCTTTAGTAGATGGGAGAACCGTCCTAACCAGGACCTTGTCTTTCTTGTTCTTAACTATATTCCTAGTTCCTGGAATAGGGCCACGTATCGTGCTTGAATGAATGAATGATGGAGTAAATGAATGAGTACTCTATTAGAGGTGAACATCAACTACAATAAAAAGCATTTAGGAGAGGCAGTAAACCAAACTGGGGGAAGTCGGGTCAGGACTCCTGGATGAAGCGATGCCCACATTTAGACTTATAGCAGGAATAATGAAGGGAAGGCAGGTGGAAGAGCAAGTGATGAGAAGCACAACAGACAGGCTCATTGGTCTGGGAAAGTGACATTTGTGTTCCAGGGTTGGGCAATGGGGAACCTCCAAAAGTGCTAGACAACCAAAGCTTTTTCCCAGAACAAACAGGATGGGCAAAGTACCCCAGGTATTTACAGTCTGTGCCACTAAAAAAGTGGAGCAAGCAAACCCCCAAACCCTCTGTTCTAACAGTCAGATCCTGTTGCCCTTTGGGATAATGGAACTCTCTGTTCCCTAGTAGAATTCACTGAGCACCCCATGGGCCTCTGCAAGGTGTAGAAATTCAGCCTGACACATGAAATAGGGACAAAGAAAGTGATTTTCTACCAGTATCATTCAAAGGATCATGCTGGTTTGTTCAGTTAGGTCCTCCATCACTGGTGTTTATGCTAAAAAGCTTCTTTCCATCAGCCCTTACTGTCCATGTAAGGAGATAGATTTGGAAGAAGAGTTACATTGATTCAGTAATGATGTGCTGAAGGGATTTCATATGATGTGACATCTAGGATAACCATTGATTTATGATAATAAAATACAATCATGAGATAACTTGTTTGACTTTGACATGGTATAAATCAAGAGAATGAATGTATTATTTTTTAAAGTTGATTGCACCCAATAACCCCATCATAAGTTGAATGTGTCATAAATAAAAAATGCATCTAACACACCTAACCTATCAAACATCATGGCTTAGCTGACCAGCGTTCTGTAGAATGGGAATTATTTTCTAATTGGGAGCTGTGGCTTGCTGCCCCCTGCCCATCGTTACAACAGAGTACCATACTGCATGTCACTAATTCAGGAAAAGATCAAAATTCACAATTTAAAGCAGTTTGTTTCCTTCCTTCCTCCCATCAGCCCACCCGTCCTTCCTTTCCAGTACTGGGAATAGAACACAGGCTTGACAAAGGCTTTACTACTGAACTACGTCCCCAGCCCTGTTTCTGTTGCATCTGAACAACTTCTACACTATCAAAAAGTTGGAAAATTATAAAATTCAAGCTATCACAATTCAGAGACTGTGAAGAATATATTTGGTCTTGGTACTTCATTCCTAACACAAAGCCCCTAAAATTTATAATTTCCTGAGAGATAGGAGTATCTCTTGATCCAGTAATGTGACTCTTGGCAGGATGGGTGTTGGTCACTAGAAAGACAGCACCTTGAATCCAAACCTAGTATTTTCAGTACTACCACCCCTGATGGAATAGAAGACAGGAGAGAAGCTAGAGATAAGTCAATCACGAATTGATTATATCTAAAAAGTGGTGTTTAGACAGCTTCTGGGCTCATGAATGCATCCACATGTGGGGAGGGTGGCAACTCCATGGGACAGAAGTGATCCTTCCAGACTTTACCAATGTTCCTCTTCATTTGGCTCTTCATTTGTATCTTTTATAAAATCCTTTATATTAAATTGGTAATCATAAAAAAGTTGATTGCAAATTACCAGCATATATTTGATATTTCTTTTTGTGCAGCTAAATTTCATAAAATTTATATGTGTGTTTATTCCATCAGACTTGGTGCAGGTGTAGTTGGAATTGTTAACATACCCTTGGAGATCATGGAACCATCCCACAATAAACAAGAATTTCTCAATGTCCAAGAGTATAATCATCTACTGAAAGTCATGGGACAGTACTTGGTTCAGTACTGTAAGGACACTGGGCTCAGTGAGTATTCAATGCTTATAGTAAGAGATGCTTAAAAGGGTTCAAACTGTGTGATTTCTTTAAGCTGAAATGATTATATAGGTATCCAGTAACCTAAAGCCCCAAAAGAGTTCCAACTTTAAAAACAGAGAGAGAAGGGCTGGGGCATAGCTCAGTGATGGAGTTTTTGCCCAGCGTGCTCCAGACTCTCGGTTTCATCCAAACACTGTAGAAAAGAAAGAGAGAAAAAAAAAAAAAAAGAAAGAGAGAAGAAAAAAAAAAGGTGAGATAGGAACTAGTTTTAGAACTTTTACCAGAATTTCATATGAAAAACAAATCAGCAGACTAGAAATTATAAGAGGGCATCCAGAGAGCAGAGTGTGGTTGTGTCTGACTATGAGGAGGGAGACAGAAGGTCTCCAAACACATTGAGAAGCCACCAGAGGACACTGAGACTCCACAGTGCAGGAACACATGAGCCTGCACAGGCCCTCATAGACCTTAGTAGCTCTTAGAGCCTTCCTATATCACACCATACAATAGTAATTATTGTCCCTGGGTAATATGTTAAACATTGTTATATATATTTAACATTTATTAAGAATGTTAATTCCAGAGAGATTTCACAAAATCAGTATGTTTAGAAACTTCAAAGATAAACTTTAGTTGTCTGGAGAATTTGACCAACCCAGGTCGCCTCATTCCTCAGTGATACTTAAACATTTAGTTGGTGTGCTGCTTATTAAAAATGCATCTAACACATCTAACCTATCAAATATAGTGGCTTAGCTGACCAGTCAAATAGACACTTGTTTTTAACTTACTCAGATGTAGGACTTCATTTATGGAAAGAAATTGACAAGCTACTGTGTATTTGTTATGAATTTGTTCAGTGATTTACATGAAAGTATGTATAATTCATTTGTGTCCAAAAAAAAAAAGTCTCTCCTTGAAACAACTTAAAATCTTATTGCTAGGCTTAATGTTGGAAGTTTAGAATATTTTCTTTTCTTTTGTACCCACCTATTTGGACCTAAAATTTTCTCACCAGTGAACCAGAGGGAAGAGTACAGGAACTCAGGGGGAAAGTTAAAACAGGGAATGAGATTGCATGGCCTAAAACCTGCTCAGTGTGTGATCTGTGCCTCAGCAGGCATTTGTCCACTTGGAGGTTGTTAGAAAGCAGAATGAATTCGAAGCTCCACTTGAGACCTACTGATTTAAAATCTGCATTTTCACATGATCTCAAAGTGGCTTCTCTGCACATTCAAGTTTGAAAAGCACTGCTCTGAAGAGCACACTCATGAAATTTTTCTTTGGGTAGACATACTTTTTTCACATGTGCTTTTTTTTCCCTCAGAGAGATGTTTGAAATTCCAATATAGGAATGACTGTATTGTTCGACAGGGTTTGTTTAAAGCTGTGGAAAATGTAGGAAGATATAAATATAAAACATAAATATAAACAGGGAAATATAAATCACACATCCATGTCCTGGTTTTTAAAGGGTGTCATGACATGGTACTAAAGGAAAACACTATGCATTGGAAAATTGTCTAATTCCCCATTATTTTCATATCTTCACTACGATCCCATCTTTGTCTTCCTCACAAAGATGTAGGTATTGAATATAAGGTCAGAGGAGTCATCTCCATCCAGCACACACTTAGGAGAGGTATCGATACCTACACCCTGTTCGTGGGTGGACCTCTCATCCCCTTTCCCTGTGTCTGGGTACAAACCCTGCAGTTTTCTCTCCAATCTGGGTATCACGTGCCAGCCTCTCTACACCAGCTCTATGTAACTCTTTGTCCTTATCCTATCTATTTTTTTTCCAAACATTTCTTAAGGGACATAATAGGGTTCAAAATAAATATATTTATATTTTTATTGTTACTCATTTATAACATCTTATTTTCCTGTTTCTATAATTGTCTACAAGTTGATTTAGGGCTAGCAGATTCTCTCACAAAATTGTTCCTCTAGAAGGAAGACAGAGAATGGAACAGGGATAGAAAATAGCAAGCATGTGTAGTTGTTCATACATCTCACAACTTCATTCCCAAACTTCATTATCAACCTGAAATAAATCATGAAGGTCAGGATTGATAGTCTCAGTAACTTCTGAGGAGCTCCGTCTTCAAGGTCTTTGCTTATCAATTCCTACAGGGGTGTGGGACAGAAGTAATGTAATGCTTGACTAATACTCTGAAAGCTAGTATTGCAGGGCACACATTTTTAATGAAAAGTATGTGGGTAGTTTTTTTGCCTTATAAATAAAAGATGCAATCTTTGTATTTGCTGTAAATCTGATCTGATTCTGTGGAAAATTGGGCTCTTGTAAAAATCGAATCAGCAGAAAGGGAAATGGAAAGGTAATGACTTTGTGTCATTTACAAATCTGCATTTACTTTTGGCACAGTGGATGCTAAGAATCTCAGAAATATTTTTCTTGACTCTGAATCTGACCTCAGCTCGCTGTCTGCTACTGTTTTCTAAAGCTTTATGCTTCGTTGCAATAAGATGGAATTATTATTTCAGCTTTGGGAAATAGGGAGAGAAGAAGACAGAAAAGATGGAGAGAAACAGCAAATGAAGTTTGGGTTAGAACAGAAGCAATTATGTAGAAATGTGTTACTAAACTTTTCCAAAATGGATCAGAATTGAGCTGATGTGTTAAAATGAAATCTGTGGTATAAAATTATGACATATTTTTTTCCAGCAAATTCAAATCATAGGTCCTCAGTTTACAAAGAGGCTAAATTACATTTACCCAATCACCCTAATCCCCTGTACCTCACAGTCATTAAAGCCTGAGCAAGAAGGGCTTCCCATGAGGAAAATCGCTACCTCTTGAGGCAGGCCATGAATCTTGGCACCACTCAGAGTTCACCCTGTCTGGGAACTTTCAGTTCACAGGACACTGTGGTCTTGAGTGCTTGCGTTTGCACAAACTGATAAGTTGAAATTCTTCTAAGAGGATGGTTTTGCTAGGAGGGACCTTTGGGATAAGTCATGAGAGCAGAGGCCCCCTGATTGGGATTGATGCCATTGTGAAGGAGACACAGGGAGGCTCCTCACCACTGCACCAAAGTGAGGTCAAAGGGAGAAGATAACTCTGTAAACTAGGAAGTGAGCACTCACCAGTCTCTAAATCGACCAGGATCTTGATCTTGGGTGCCCATCCTCCAGAATTATAAGAAATAAATCCTATTGTTTATAAGCCACCCAGTCTAGGGTATTTTGTTAGAGCAATCCAGATGGTCTAAGATGACTTGACAATTAGAAGTAGGATTGGTTCCTAACAGAGAAAAATGAAGCCAGAAGCCAGTTTCTGGGAAGTGATGAGTTGTTAGCCAAGCCAACTTGATCCTTCCCTTTTGGGGCCACGGGATATATGCCTAAAGCCTTTCCAGAGCACAGCCTTTCAGGTATTTGAAGACAAGCTGATCTCCCTCTTCAGTCTTGTTTTATCCTGACTAATATTTCTTTTTTTTTCATTTTTAAAATTTTAATTTCATATATGTGACAGCAGAATGCATTACAATTCACATTACACATATAGAGCACAATTTTTCATGTCTCTGGTTGTACACAAAGTAGCGTCACACCATTCGTGTCTTTATACATGTACTTAGGGTAATGATGTCCATCTCATATCCTAATAGTTCTACGTCTTATTATTGTTCTTCATTTGACATGGAATTGAATATATTTGCTATTCTAGCATGACAATGATAAGTTTATTGCCTAGAAACAAAATGTTCCCAGTGAAATCTGGACATCCTCGAGTGAGATGGAATCATTATTTTTCTTCTGAGATTTTGTAATGTTGATGGTGTAACCTAATCATATACTAACTCTCAGTAAGCACATTATTTGACCCTTAGTGTCTTTATTACCAAAAATTTTCAACAAAATTTCTAATGCGTGTTCCTATAGAGTTATACTTCTCTCTACACTTCTCTACGCTTCTCTCTACTTATATTTTTCCAGTTAGTGTTTTTGGGCCTTACTGTACCATGAAGCACTTTTCCTTATTAAATTTTATCACCTTATTTGGTTTCATTCATTCAAATTGTCAGGACTTTTCTTTGAATCTAGTGCTGACTTATAACTAACGTATTGTTTTTCCATATTTGTGCAAAGCCTGGCTAGCATTTTCTCTGTGATTTCACATAAATCCTATTGCATAGAGAAAGAAACACAAGCTCTGTGATCTCTCCTGATATAGAAATGGGCACATGGCACATGATTGAGGACAGTGAACCAATTATAGGTTTTCCTAGTGATGCTGTCATCTAACTCTTGTCAATTTCCCAGTTTATGCACAATATTTGTAAGATGAATATTTCTGTTAAGATAATGTCTAGTCGTGGATATAGCTAGCTTCTCACAACAAAATTTTCTTTCATTATGTATTTAGTCTCTAAAATCTCAAAAGTGCACTGTCAGAAAATGAAATATGGGCTGGGGGTGTGGTTTAGTGGTAGAGTGCTCGCCTAACACTGGGTTCGATCCTCAGAACCACATAAAAATAAATAAGTAAAAGTATTGTGTCCAACTACAACTAAAAAAAATTAGAAAAAAATGAAATACAACTTCTAGGCTGGGGATATATGTTGAGTGGGAGAGATATATAAATATTAAAGGGGGAAAACATGAGCAAGTTTAAGATATAGGCTGAGAAACAATTGATGTCTTGTTAATTTCGTTTTCCAAGCTATAGGTTTTATGTATTTATTTTACTTTGTCTTAAAACATTGTGTTACAAATATTATATTCTATTGTTTATATAAATTTTTGTATGGTGTTTTGGATAGAATCATGTCCCTCTCAAATGCATATCTTCAGGCCCTACTTCCAGTACTTTAGAATGTGGCTGCATTTGGAGATGGGCCCTTTAAGTAGTATTTAAGTTAAAATGGGCTCTAATCCCCACTGACTGGAGTGTAAAGGGAGGAAATTTGGATACACAAAGAGACACCAGGGATGGGTTGAACAGAGAAAAGATCATGTGA